GACAATTAACTTTTACAAGGACGAAGTAGTCGGTGAAGATACAGTTCGTATTCAGGATGTTCATCCATTGGGATTCTATAGACTTCTCAGGTACGTATCTCTTTTTCTCATGAGTTGCTGTCTTCTTTATAATTCACCTTTGAAGACCTGCTCCAAAACGCAATTCAAAATGTTTTTATTTCATAAAAAATAGATTGCGCTGGTTGGGACGTGTGCTGCGGATGCCACCAGATATGTTCCCACAGTAAACGATGCTTACCGAGGCATGTACCTAGTGGAAAAAGATCTAGGTCGGTCAAACTAAGACCTGGCATGAGGGTATGAAAACCCTAAGCAGGAGACTGGCTCACATAGATCCCGTTAGNAGAGACACTGAGCGATATGACTGGGTGTTGCAAACAGTGGCGCTTGCGCATCTACTCATTATGCTTGTAACTTCAGTCTATAGAAATGCACTATCTTCCGCTTAAATCTGCTGCCAACATTCTAATCTTCATTCTACATTTTATCCAAATGGGCAACCAAAAGACAGTAACTAAAACCGGCACACGAAAGTGCATGGTTAATGGTGATAATAACCGAACCGAACCGAAACGCCCCGAACAGTTATCTATCCAACAATGCTCCTCCACATGGTCCTTTAAAACGCATTATTAGAGGTCACATGATAGATTGCCTAAATACTAGGTGGAAATTGATAGGGAGATCAAGCTTCGTGGGCCATTTTGCCTTGAAACAGTAGACATTCTAGAATCCGTTGAGATCTACTTGGCCGACATAAGACAGGCTTCAGGACCAATTTTAAGGGTCACCGAGTTCCGAAAAGCCTGTTCTGGGAATATTTTTCGAGATAGGAGGCCGTTGTGTTTTTGGTATGTAATGGATTGTATTCCACATAGGACCTTTGATTCTGGTTCGATAGACAGACGGACCCTAGAGTGAGATATGGTTTACGCCTAGCACTATACCATGAACAAAATCAATTTATGGTTTCCTTTTATTTGTATTGCGTTGTTCTATATGGATTTTCTCCTGTTTATGAGTGAGCATCTGACTTATATTTTTACTGTTATGTGAAACAAAATGCTTTTCTATGGCTAATGAGTCAACCATACTTGGTGATTTGATAGTCAACGACATAACCCACCTAACTGACGATATAAAACTGTCGATCTACTTGAAACTACGTGGAATTTGTTGCCCACGAATTAATTCATCTTAAGTTGTTCAACACTTGGTGATGGAAACTCACGATGCTTTTATAACCTCCGTGGTCCCATTGACAGATTAAGCTCTCTGCATTAGCTATGAAGAAAGGTAGGTATTTTATCAAGGTAAAGGAGCCATTAGTAAGTGCATTCTCAAGCGTGATATGCTCACGATGTAAATTTACAAACAAACATATTGCACACTGCACACACTATGAACTGCACGTCGATTAATAATCCATTTGCCCATCCTTGTTCGGTTTTGCTTTATGCAACCCGATATACGTTGAGCAGATCAAGTGATCGTTGTAAAGTTTGGATGCGTGGTTACGCATCCTTTGTGATACCTTTGAGGTGAGGCTGCACATGAGCATATTACCTGCTCCTTCGAAAACAATCGACAAATTCTTAATCAGATAGAGATCGAAGTAACCGCTAATCGATCTTATGAATTATAAATGATAAATTATTTGTGGCCTCGGTTGCACAATCCAGAAAAAAAATTAAGATGTTTTTTTTCGGTCCAAAGCAAAAGCAAAGCTTACGTAAGGTATTACATGGTTTTTGACAGTGACTAAATAGATCCAGATTGATGCACTTTCCCTCAAGGCTTTTAAAAATTTCAGGTATTGGTATATTAAAGAAAACAAAACCTAATACATCCATACAATATAACCCAGTACGTGGTACAAAGAGTCCTTTAATGACTACCGATTAATGTAGCCTTCCTTCCTTGCACCCGTTTTGCATAGTATCCCTTCCAGTTCAGTTCAGTCCAGTTTTTATAACCATGACCGTGAACCTTCGTGTGCCGGTTTTGGTTGCATTCTTTTGGCCACCATCTGAATAAAAGAGCACAATAAAGATCGGAAAGCTAGAAACCAATTCAAGCGGAAGATAGAGAATTCATTCAGACTGGTTCTCAGGATCTGTCTATCTGAAATAATTGTTTTGTATGTTATGTATCAGGATAACGCAAAACAGGGAACTACGTCGACATATTTGAATCAAGCATTTCTCGTGCCGATGAACAACGATGAGTTAAAATCGGCGATTATATGAGTGAATACCACCTCATGTTTGATGATTCAAAGTGTTGTCAGCTTAAAACCAAATTTCATTTTTTGTTGCATCATGCTTTGAAAGTATCTGAGGCTTTTAACTTCAGGTAATTGAGTGTTACTTCTTTATATTCTCCGTGTACAAAAATCAGGTTGATTGCCTTATAGGAATGTGCAATAGATTAACGTTTTCAATCACAAAATATTAACCTCAAGTTATTTTCCTCTGACTATTTTAACGAGTTCATTAATTTTTGCTCCCGTTCTTTTGTCAATAAGCTGTCTTGAAAACCATCTTGTTACTTACTTGATGCAATTTTTCTGGAACTTGTTTGCCTAATCACACAAATCTTCATTTACTAACAAACTGAGGTAGCCTGATGAGTAGCAATGAACTACTAAACCGCTTTATTCAGCATGGGTTCTCCTTCTTACATTAGGACATATTTAGTATATTCAAAGGACGTTAGGTTGTTCAAATAGTGAGTTACCTCGTGTACAGAGAAAAAGAAGCATAAACTGAAAATCTCGGACGCACTGTTTCAAACGAAATAGGTCTCATCAGCAATGCGACCAAACTGACCCAATTTTAGGCTCCAGTTTTAACAAACATTTACCATTCACCTTAGTACGGCGCTTTGGGGTTGATTTCTTTTGGCTGTTCATCTGAATAAAACAGGAGAACGAAGATTGGAATTTGGAGAGCAGAGTCCAGGAGAAGATAGAAAATTCATATAGACTGCGATTGCAACTGAGGATTGAACTCGAGACCTCATAGGTAAACTGCAAGCATAATATTCAACTGACCACATGACAGAAGACCAGACTCTTTATTATTTTGCCTACAAAAGATGCGCCACAAACTGTCTTTGCGAGCTTATTGTGGGAATCACAATTTGCGCATTTCTGTGCTAGCCTGAACTAATGCAACTTCCCATGTGTGGTTAGTACAACCCTACCAATGCGAACAAATGCATAACCGTAATCTGATGAAAATATGATACTTTTCTGTACTATTTAATCCCCCAAATTTGTGAAGGCTGAGGCAACTTGAAAACGTTTTTGAATTGGCCATTATCAAAGCTGTTTCAAAATATAATCAACTAAGTGATTTCCTTCTATCTTACCATTCTGCTTACACACTAAACTGTGGCCTTATTTTATCAGTAAATAAAATAGCCTCACTTTTCCAGGGATAAATGATTAAACCTGATCATTTGGTCGGTTAACAATAACAATGAATAAGGCTTTATTTCGTCGATTGGAAGTGCATATTTATCTATGGATGAATGTGCGGTTTTTAGTCCTTAGTTATTCTTACGATTCCTCAAAGCCCAGGTTCTTACATACATACATTAACTTTCACCACAGAATGAGATGATGTGGATCAAAGGACACTGGATTGTAGCTTTATCCGTGTTGGAGCTTCTCACTGGTGTGTTCTTACGGAAATACAAGCTGGGCCCCAATCCACTGTTTCACTGTTTGATTATCGATCAAGATATAAAAAGCAAGCAATATAGGAAGTATCCTCAGAAGGAAGAAAATGTGTTACTTTTTACTGCCAACCACTTTAAGGATCTTTTGCAAAAAGACAATTATCTAGTTTGGTCATCATCCACATTTTTCCACAATTGGCTGAATTACATTAAATTAACTTTCTGCATCCAGCCTTACTATTTTGTCCACGCCCAAATCCATTGAGTATTGACAACTGAAGGATAAAATGTCTGATTCTGCTATCTCATTTACTCATATGTCCGAGAGAAACCATGAACACCACTCCTTACGACTAACCATAAGAGCGTTTGGGTCACTGACCAATACAGCGGTCTCACACGTTTCTGAAACAAATCAAACTGCCAATGTGACCGAAGTTTTCCTCACCCTGTTTTACGTTCGAATATCAAGGCAGGTTCTCTGTTGTATGCTCGCTACAGCAGAGGCGATAATAATTCATCAGCACCACCCCTATCACCCCCTACACACACAGTGTGCTTAAAAAACAATCAATTAAAACAACATCTCAAATATTCACAAACAATTGTGGTCATTCAGAATCCCATATCTAATTATTATTTCATGATGCAATCAACCCGAAATAATCTGCAATGCTTATTTTTCCTTTCCTCAAAACGTTTATATGGTTCACTACTTGTGCATATATATATATACATGGCATATTGGAATATTTATTGTGATGTGTTGGCATGACTCCAAATCATCGAAAACGAGCTTATTCGTCACTGTGTTCTACTTGGTCTGTGGGACTCTTTAGACATTGAACATTCTTATACACTTTCTCAAGTTCTCAACCCCCAAAG